AAATATTTACATTGTACAAATATATGGCAATAATTTAATTTTAAAATTAATAGTAAACAAGTATTTTAAATATAAAAAGGTAATTAGTTAATTAAAAGTAATTACAAAATTATTTTTGAAAATTATTGATTAATACAGTAAATAAAATATAATCAGGATAATTTATTTGAAATTTAAAAATCGATAATAAACATTTTAATATAAAAAAATTCAATTAAAAAAATAGTAATCAAAAGCTTAATTTTCAAGAAAAATATAATTCTAAATTAAAACAATTTATAAACAATTTATAAACAATTTTAAAAATTTTAAATACGTTTAAAGATTTTTCATATTTTTTAAAATTTTTATTATTAAAATGGCATTAGTTAAATCTTTTGGCTATTAAAAATTTTTGATTAATTAACTTTTTATTTTATTTTATTGGCAAATCTTTATTTCAAAATGTCCTGTCTTTTTATGAAAATATTTTATAAAACCATATAAGAGTTCATTCAAGAACATGCAGAGCTTAAAACATTTACAATATAAAATAAATGCCGTACATAAATTTTAATCAAATTTTTAAATTTTCTAATGTTTTTGATCATTTTATACAAAAATTTTTTAAAAACAAAATTCACAAACAATGTTTTATAAAAGAAATCATTAGTTCTAAATAGTTAAAAATAAAGATTAAATCAAAGGAAACATTAACATTATATAATAAAATAAAAGTTTTTCTTTCCTACATTCAAGCAAATCAATAAATTTCTTTTAACAAAGTTATTGTTTGATTTCCATATAACAGTAATTTTATTTATATAATTTTAAAACTCACTCATCACAAACAAAACATTTTTTTTATTTATTATATAAAATTATACATTTATCTTATTAATATTATAATATAAAAGCACAAACAATATTTTTTTTTCTTATATAAAAACATTAGAAATAAAATGCTGCCAACAAAACCCAATATTCATAGTTTGTTAAATGGCTTCATACCATTCAAACTCTGCTTCAACATCTTCTCTATTATCCTGAATAAAAGGAAATCTTATCTCTTATCTATGTATCTCCTGACATGAATTGTAATTCATTTTATAATTGTTTTATTGTTGGTCATCTTTCTTTTGTATGCAAGTTTCTGTCTCAAACATAACAAACTAATTCCCTTTATTATTAAAATAAATTAAACAAAAATGCAAAAGTTATATAATATTAATATTTACTTGTATGTACAATATCAATTATCAGTTATGTTGTTTTAATTTATAACTGAAAAATTATCATTTATAAAAAGATAAAAAGAACTAAATATCTTTATTATTTATGTTTGACAGCACTTTGAATTTGTATGTCATAATTTATATTATTTAAATACTTTCAAACTTACAAATGTTTAGTAATAAATCTTGAAAGAGTTTAGAAAGCTGACTGTCTAAAACTAATAAATAATTAAGTAAAAATTTATGTAAATGTCTTATAAAATATTTGTATATATGTTTGATTACAGTTATATGTTACAATTAAATTACAGAAAATCATTATCCATAAACTTTAAATCCTTGAAAACAATTTAAATTGATAAACTTAATGACCAATTAAATATAAACAAATCTTGCAACACAAGATATGTATATGTTTATAAAACAGATAGTTAAATAACATAGAATGTTTATTATATAATGTAGCAAGCTGAAAGGTATGGATTGGTAAGTTGTGAAAAAAATTGTTTCATTAATGTACAGTAAATTTTCCTTCAAAATTGAATTTCATCTATCTTTTACTGGGTCTTCTCAACTAACAAAGTGAAGGTTATAGCTGAATACTTCAGCCTCCAATTTGAAACTATAGCAACGGGATAGACTAAGCTGCTATTAAAACCAAGCTTATCTCACTCAAGAACCGAAGAGCCACAATCCTTATAATACAATATGTCTCAATTGCACATTCCCATTTACTATGGTCATTTGAACACTTAAATAAAAGCTGTATTGCTTTATTTATTTATGCTAAATTTAATATATAATTACAGAAGCTTATTCTATAAATTTTAAAAATAAATAAAATATTTGTTACAGTAAACATTAAAACAAGTCAGATAGTAAGTGTAATAAATTTCTAATCAAATAAAGGTTCTTTAATCTTCAATTATATTAATTAACTAAACTAATGCAGTTATATTAAATAAGTAACACTTTTAAATAAGTAAATGATAAGTAAATAATTGCTTTCTGTTTAAACATTACTTTAATATATTTAAAATTTAAACATCATATTTATCTTAAAATTGCATACTGTATTTCTTGATGATTATGCTAATTGGATTCAAATTTTTTTGGTTTGTTTAATTTAATTTTGTTTTCAAATGTTCTAATTAATTTTAAAAGATTGTATCTTAAAATTATTTTTGTAAACAAATTAAAAAGGCATTCACACTAGAAAATATCTTTTCATCTCCATTACTCTTCTATGATGATGATGATGATGATGATGATGATCTGAGAAACATTTAACAATTGTAATATTCAAAATTTAGTTCTAAGTAAAGTTTTACAACTTCCATAAAATTATTATTTACTATACATCATTCAATAAACTTTCCTCATAAATTATATGCATATTAATAATTAATATGCAAACATGTCAGGTTAAATTCTCAAAATTGTTGGATAAATTTCAGTACATAAACTAAAAACTAGTTTTTTCTTTCAAATTATTATTATATAAATTATTTTTTTTTCTTGTTTAGAAACTTATAAATTTTGATTTTTAAAATAGAAATTTAAATATTCTACAAATAAAATAAACAACATAGAATTATTAAGATCTTTCTTCTATGTAAATTTATTATAAAAATTTAAATAATTTATACAATTTAATTACATAAAAAAAATAACTATCTGCATATCAAAAATCATATATTTTCTATAGATAGAGATGCATGTGGGGTTAATTAAAATAAAAATGCATTCCAAACTGAAACATCATCCTTGTAGATATCATCAGGATCATGTTTAATGGATTAATATGTCCTCTAAATGCCACACCCTTTCAATAAATGAGTAACTGATTTTTTTAATCATTTGCATCATCCAAACCCTTCTCATGATTTCAACAATAAAGTTTAATTTATGTAATTAAAATAAATATTTTAAAAATAAGGTTTGGCATCTTATGCATTTATCATATTCATTTTTATTCTTATGTATTACAAAAGGCAATATTTTCTCGAGAAAAAAAAGATCAGTTTTGATTTCTGGAATACATAAGCCTGTCCTAAAAGCATATTTTACTAGTAAAGATGAATATATATTCGCGCAATGACCGCCAAAAGTGATGGTTGAGTAAGTGGAAGAGGTTGGTGATCGATAGTTTCGGTGTCAGAGTTGGACATTTTTATTAGTGAAAATCGAGAATGATTTATTTGCGTAACAGAAGGGGGAAAAAGTGAATTTTAAACGTTTGTAACGTTAATTGTTATCATCAGCTGATATAATAATACTTTATCACGTCAATCATGATACTGATAAGAAAAATATCATCTTGGACTCTATGTCATTACAGTGAAAGAAAAAGAGATAGCATCTTCCAGTCCATCAACGTATAATGCGCAACTCAAAAACAAAGAGGAGGAAAGGAATTACGAGATCTCATGGCGAGTAAATTATTTTCCTATCTTTGTTAGAATCTTATTTATCCAACAGGCGATTATGAATTACGAAACTGTGTACTGTAAACGAATTTAATATACTTAAAAACTGTGTCAGCTAACTATACCGGTTCCAATCGGCTAAAACGAAATTATAACCTGCCTGATCCTCCATATCAAACCGTTTTAAAATATTTTTTTCTTTTTTAAAAAAGAAAGAAATGCATTTACAAAATTCTATTAAACAAAATGAACACTTTGATCTATCACTAGTTTGACCCATTTGTTAAGTTTATTTATAGATTATGCCATTGATAGTACATATCAATAAAACGACTATATGTATAATACATTTATATATATATATATATATATATTTTTTTTTATCTTAGAAAATTGTATATAAAATTTATAAACCAGTATTTATAATATTATATAATTTCTATTATTAATTAAAATTAAAAAACAAAATTAAGTGCTGAAATGTGGAAAAGTTGATGAATAAATTGAATTGAAATGAAAGCTATTGAAAAGAATTATCAGGTTAATCGAAATGTCTGATTTATATGTTAAAAATGCTCCCGATAAGAGGCCAAGATCACAAATGTTTAAATTACAGATTTAATGGGATGAAAACATGTGTTAAAACTTAAGAAAAGTTTACTAAAAGTTACGTTATATCCTCATAAAAGGCATTAAGATGGGATATTGTAGTTTTACGATGGCTATTTTCGACTTAACAAGAGAAAAATATAAGATTTTGCTCTAAACCAAAAAGCAAATATTTACGATCGACTCGGATGCCATAAACGAACGGAATGATTCATATGTAACATAATTAATTAAAGTACATAACTAAATAAATGAACACAAGTAAGGTTCATATTTATTTAACCTTATTTTACCATTTAATGAGTAATGAATCAATTAGTGAATAAGGCAAATTATTATCGATGCATAATACGAATTTTCTACTACATTTTAAAACTACATTAACATGATAAAAGGCCTGCTTCTGTGTGTCTGTTCGTCACGCTCAAAGCGGCAGGAAATTTGATAAATTAAGTCACACTACCGAAAAAAATGTAATAGATGTATATTCAAACACAATTAGAACACATAAATAGACTTTAAAGAGAAGTTACTAACGCGAGATATGAAATTTTTCTAATATTTGAAGCTGATTAACATAATAAAGTAGCATTATATAGAAGAATATCGATCTGATATAATTACATGGGGTATAAATAAACTAATTTACTTAACCATCTAAATGGAGTGTGTGTATATACAATTTAATTCGTCTCGGGTTTACCGACACTTCATCCCTTATCTGTAATAATGTTTATTAAGCACTCACCTGTACATTACGATTGTTGTGAGAATTAAGAGTAGGAAGAGATGTGCGTCTGGATTTATAAAGAAAATGTACGGCACCGGTGCTAGAGGTGCGATGCTTCCTTGCCGCTAACAACCTTCCATCCGATGCTATGAATGAAGCTATGGGAGGTAAAAGGGTGGCCTGTACGTATTTGGCAGTCACAACACCGGTCAAACCGCACAGGTAAGTAATAAACGATCGAATACATGCAGGCAAATCGGGTAGGAGCGTCAACGCCAATAACTTCAAAACGGATATAAAAGTCACCACCATAAACACTAGATTTTTCGGTAAGGATGATAAAACGGCCGCACCCGTAACCGTGAATAGGTAGAGCAAATAGTTTATAAAATTACCGATAAAATAATAATCCTTCAAACGTGTTCGTCCGGTGAAAACGGATGCTACAACTTCACCCACTACGCTGGCGCAGAAAAGAAAATAGAAATTTGTGGCATTTAATGACTTCCTATAAGTAAATGCCAGCCAGAAATAAGCGCAGGTGATTGTAAACAACGGTACAAGAAAGGTGCACAGTTTCTGTATTACGTACGACACATCACAACACACACAGATGATGAGTAAACACACAATACATATACCGTAAGTCAACGCCGGTATACGGTATTGTGGTAGTCCAAAACAGGCCAGACTGAAGCCGTAACGTCCATCGTTTAAAGGTTTAACGAACACCTGGACGTAGCCATTATTATCTACACTTTCTGCCTCCAAACTCTTCCTCGTACTCCGTCTACTTGAGTAAGAAGCCATTCTGCTTTACTCTTTCCATCGTCTAAAATGTTCAGCGGCTTCCCTGGTTAGATGCACGCTAAGCATGATGGGTAAAAGCTCTGTCGTCACGGGGTGGTTGGTGTGTTATTTATTTATTTATATATTATTTTACTTTACTTTTTTTAAAGTTTTTCCTCTTTGAAAATTCTTAAAATATATCGCCAAATTAAGCGATTTATCGGTTTATTAATTACCCTTCTATCTTTTATCACGAAGAAGGATTATATTTTTAAAAAGTTACTTTTTCTGCAGTGTTACTCTCATATTTTAATACGGGAACACGTGATGCCCGAGATAAATGCTCGATTGTTTCCTTATAAAACTTATTTAATTAAAAAATAACGAAACGGTGAATCGCTGTCCGAAATCTATAGATTTTAATTGAAAATTTTATCGTAATTAAATTATTACTGTCGTTATCGGCTTTAAACATAGATTATCTTCAAGTGGCGGTTACCTCAAGGATGAAAGAGAGGAAAATTATTATTTTTTTTTATTATTTTCTTTACTTTTTTAACACGTTTCTCTCGCCTTATCGTCTCCTTTTCTAATATCCCGACTTATAAGAGAATATTACATTTTCGACTTAAGTCCCCACCTCTTCCTGCTCCGTGATTCAAGCGTCTATTATTAGAGGTTTTTCAGGGCGTTTGTACTGTGAAACGTAAGCATCAGGAGAAAAGGAAGATGAGGAAAAAGGGGTAAAAGTTATAAGTATCGTTTTGTGTAAAGATCAAAACATGCGTTAAAGTATTAAAGAAGATTAAGACAGCTTTAGCTTGAGGGTATAAGAATAGCCAGAGGGATAAGTCTCGCTTTTAGCTTCGTATACGCCTTAAGTATCAAGAAAAAGTCGAAATCGAGATAGAACACGGAGTGATATTCCCTCTATAAACATTAATAATAACGCTGTAGAATTTTGACAAAATTTCTCTCGAGAAATGATATCTTTTTTTAGAGTATTTCTTACTTAAAAAATATACAGAAAATAATATTCTCTCTATTCGTTTCCTTGTTTATTTATTTATTTACTTTATTTTACTTTTATTTTTGTTTTAGTTTGCTTGTAAGCTGGAAATCTGCATTAATTTATTTAGTTTCTAAAAGTAAAAATAGTATTTTCCGGCTTGTACAAAATATATGAAGGTTACCTATTAGACTTGATTAACAATAAACAAAAGGAAAAAAGGAACGGATGTTTATGTAGATTATACAGTAAATGTCAAGTTCACATCTAAAGAAAAATTAATTTTATCGGTTAATAATGTATATAAAATGATAATGTTTTAAAATTTTAAATAGAAAAAAATATATAAATATTTTAGTAATTTTAGCTTATTGGTATAACACCAACGAGTGTGTCGTGTCGCATCGATGATGAAATTCGTATCTGTTTATCTTGTTTCTATTAAAAATTTCAGAAAATTTATCTCATTGACTACTAATTTATATAAAATGACAACGTTTACAAATTTTAACTTAAAAAAATACTTAAATAATTTTAGCTTATAAGTATAACGCTTCAACGCGCCTGTCGCGTCTCGTCGCGAGCGTATCGATGCTAAAATTCTCATCTGTTTATTTTGTTTCTATTAAAAATTTTAGAAAGTTTAATTAATTTAAAATCATGTTTAAAATATTTTTGCTTCGAGTGAAATGAAATAAAAAGATTATTTTTATCTTGTCTATAACTCTTGGAAACAACGCGACGCGACGCGTGAAGATTGATAGTAAATGAAGTTGCTAATATTTTGATTAATGGCGTTAATCTTTTAATAGCAAATTTATATAATGATCGCCAATTTTTAATTATCATTAAAAATATGCAAATATCTTTTTTTAATGATGTCATTAAAGAAAATAGGGATTTATCTTGTACAGGCCGCGCGACTAAAAGAGTGAAATTAGTTAGAGTATAATAAAATTATATATATTTCTAAATAATTTAATTTATTCTAATAAATTTTATTGTAATTTTTACTTATTTTCTTCAATAATAATTTATAAATGTTTTTAAAATCCTGCTTATAACAGAAATAAGATAATTGATCTTTAAATGAGAGTCTAATTTTCCATAGGTAACGCGACGCGCTGCGTCACATAGCGCGATAGTTTCATTAAATTTAATAGAACATTTTACTAAAATTCTAAGATTTAACAGTTTAAATCATAGAAAATTGGTAATGGAGGATATTCACTAGGAATTTTATTACCCATCTGTAAAATTTATAATCATGGAGTCAAATTTTAGAACTTGCAACTTAGTCCCATTGAAGATTGTAAACAGCATCGAGTTACTTTTGATTGACATTACGTTTGATTTAGAGAAACTATTAATACGAATTTGTTAATATGCTTTTTTCCCTGTGATAACTGACAATTATTCTTTTCTTTTTGGCAGTAAATAGCGTGAAAGAATAGGCGAACAAGAGTGGAGAAGGAGTCGAAGTGTCGCAGTGATGTAATTAAGAAGTGGCAAAAATTAGTAGCGAGATGACAGAGTGGGAAAACTACCGACTTAAATACAGTTCGTACTGTTTTCTCTCGACATACGATCTCTTCTACTTTAATGACGTTCGACCTCTCTGTAAATTATGAATGAGCTTCTCATTAAAATAGACTTTATATATACTATACGCTCTTATTTGACTTTCAACAATTGCTCTTACATTGTAAATTTTATTATTAAACCTCGTAAAATAATACAACAAACCTATTAATAAATGTTTTTGATGGTTTTCCACGTTGTAATTCATAGATATTTTTCAATTTTCTACTTTTAGTAAAGCTCCATTGGTGTTATTTACGGCCATCTTTCGCTATGATTCGTACAGAAAGATAAATGTTTTTCTCGAATCTGTTGTATTTACATTATTTTTCGATTATTATTTTATATTTCTATTTTAAAAGCCTGTTAACTTTCTAGGCGTCTTAGTTTTCGTTATTTTAACTGGAAAAAAATACAATCGCTTCCTGTTCGATTTGACTCTGCGACGTCATTTCCTGTCACCGGAAACTCCGTTCGGAGAAATCGTTTATTTTCATTCAAATAATTTGTTTTCAATTTTCACAAATTGATTTTCGGTTATTTCGTATTTAAATGGTTTTTCGTTAAACAATAACGGGATTGCAAATGCGTAGAAACATAATAATGCAGGTGTACTGTACGTGACAAACCGCACGTGGAAAACTAGATGATAATGTGATGATGATGGTGATGGTGATGATGTTTCTTCACGTGATAGAGAGGAGAATCGTCGACAAAATCTTCACGGTGGATTGTTGTCGTATTGTTACCAATTATTAGACGTGTTGAATTCGTTTAATTGAGTTCTGATTAGATAATTGTTATCTGCAAAGGAATTTCTCGATTAAATTAATTCAGAGGAAGTGAATGTATCAATTTAGTTATTCGAACTAATTTTATCGCCAATCCCGCAAGAAATAAATTAATATAATAAATTATTTGCTTCGCAATATTCGAAAAAAATTAATTCATAATTAAAGATAAAATTATCTATTTTCAATAGAAATAAACTGACGAAATTATGATTTGTTTTATCATATGAAGGCTACGCGTTATTTTATAAATATTAGGCTGTATATTTTTACACTAAAATTTAATATGTTTCTATTAAATAAAACTGTTTCTATGGTGATTCATAATAGAAATAAGTCGAGAAATGAGTCTAAATTTAATCCTAAATTTAATAATAATAAAAAAATATAATAAAATTTATTACTAAAATTATATTTTTATGACCGTCCAAGATAAAGACGACCTCATATAAAAATAGAGAAACGAAATTTACTACGTTTTATTACGAAAAATACGAAAATTCTAAAGCCATGTAAATGTCTTTCATCAATATGTTGATATTCAACCTGTCCTTTTCCCAGAGTAGATCGTTCGATTTTCAAAATGTGGTTGGCCAGAATGACCAAAACTAGAATGTAGATGAATATAAATAGGAAAATATAAACCCAAAAGTACGAGTGTTCAAAGATAATTTCCGCCAGCAGTTAAGAGAGGAGTAATGTATGTTGGATGCTTATCAGGAAATGAATATGCACTTTACGAAAACACGGATATTGGACGTCTCCCAGAAAATGTGTAAGCATGGACGTACATTTTAACTGTTAGTAATGTCAAGAACACATTCAGCTTTTCTCTATCTTGTTTACAAAAATGGTTACTTTAAAAGTTAATTTTTGAAACATTTAAGCTTCGTCTTTTAACATAAATCTTTCTAATTAAAAGATATTTTTATCATTTTTAACTGGTTTAAATCTTATTCCCCCCTCTTTTCTATATGAAAACCATTAGCTAAATTATTATAATAGTTATAGTATATTAAGTATATCATCAAATTTTTTTTTCCTCATTTTGTTGTGAATGGAGGTTTTTGCCTGATAGAGAAGATCATTGATCCCTAAGGAAGGGATCGAGGTCATCCCGTGTGTCTTTATAACTCTATATTTTGTGCTGTTAAGTGACAAAAAACAACTTTATGGAGATATTAACCATGTTTTTGTATTGGTCTATCTGATAATTAGATCATTAATGGGCCTGTTTGGTCGCACGAACTTACTAGATTTGTTATTCTTACTATATTTATCAAGGAAATTATTTTATTTTCCCCCTATTTACTGAGTTTCTGAAGCATCACCAAAATCTTTATTCTAGGAAATATTAAATAAAATTTTATGATAATCTTTAGATATTATTTTTAATTTTGTTATTAAATTTTATATAAATTTGTTATTTATGTATACGAGTAATCACTGGATTCTGTAAATTTCGCTATTTATTTGACTTAAATAATGTATTTTATTGCTCATTTTATCGCAATAACATGAGTTTATAGTCTGTAGTTCATTATCTAATCGCATTCTATTAAATAAAATAAATATTATTATTTAAATTTAATGTTTCTTTAAGCTTTGCATATGTCGAATGCTTCAATTATATATAATAAGTCCTAATTATCTGGTTTTCTGGCTACAGTTTTTCTTTTATTCTGTGTATTTTTAATCTTCTCCTGCCGGACATTTTGAAAAATGATCCCCAATTAAAAGCTCATCCAGTTTAGAACTACGAATCAAACCTTGATGTAGCGTTCTCTTAATTAACGCTATCCTCGTAATGCGCTAATGAATATTTATAAACGCATCTTTCCTATAAATATTGAATAGAAAATGCTGTATCTGTGAATTACTAAATGTGCGATTTTGAATTGCAAATGGCATTATCACAAAATCACGTGACTTATCAAGCTGTCCAAATCGAACTTGTGTGTGGATCTCATCGCTATATATTTCCTATTGTTTAAAATAACTTATTTCAATTTAGCGCTTTACAAATTTAGGTCCAATTTCAGAGTCGAAAAAATAACGGCGCTAAATCGAACTTTAGCGTTATGTGTAAGCACTGATTCGTTGAATAAATAAAAATTTTTATAGTTTTTTTTAATCTTATTACTTAGCCTATCTAACAATCTGCTTCTAAATACATCTCATATTTCATACGGTTCCGAATTATCCAATTAATTTTTTTCTTTTGTCTTTTGTTATTTGGCCCACCGCCGTTTCCATTTAAACTAAATAACTGCGCCTCTAACGTAGCCATTATACTGTGTAATTAATTAATTAATTCTTGAATACTTTAACTTTTTATTTCTAATAGTATATCTTCTGTTTTTTTTAATGGAAATACATTTCTAATTCACTTTTTATGTCTATACATAAAATGGAATGATGTCTGCCTGTTCCTTATACCATTTTAAACCCGTAAATATGAACTAAATTTTTTAGTTAAGACCTGCAGAAAATATAGGCTACCAAGAAACCTAGACACCCCTCTAGTTTCATTTCCTTGTTTTATTAATTAACTTATAGCCTATACTAACGCAACAAATAATTTATATGTATAATCCAATTTATAAGCTTCGTACATATGAGGCCTATAAATTATATAAACATAGGCCTTAAAGTTATAAATATATAGGTCTTGTGTACACTCACACGCACAAACAAGGTGGTCCTTAACTGTGAATTTCTCAAACAAGGTACTAAAAGTTTTTAAAAAATTATCTTAATTTATCAAGGCTTAAATGTATACATACATACATAATTTATTATATATAAATTTAATAGAAAAAATTAATAAATATATATTTATAAACTGTATAATAAGTAGAGTATATGTATACTAGGGCCATGGAAAGACAGGGTAGAGAGGGCATGTGCTCAGGGCGTCGAGATGATGGTGTGCCAAAATTCCTAAATTGTTACACGGGCAAATAAATAAATTCGTAGAAAACTGTAACGTACGAGTATGAAAAATTATATTATCATGTTTACTTATACATTTTTCTATGAACTATTTTTCAAAATTTTCTAGAAATGCATTGTTAATGTGTTACAAAGGCGCACTGCGTGCCACTCTGCATTCCGTATTAGTGAAACCACTACTGCAAGCGATAGATCTTCGTTCCTCTCTACAGTGGCGCGTTATCCTATCGGCAAAAAGGGCAATTGCCTGAGGCCCCACCAACAGGGGCCCCAAATCAATCTTTTGTAAGAAAATATTTTCCTCAGAAACTCCCTCAAAGAAAAATGTTTGAAGTCAACACTATACATGGGGCTCCTTAATTTTAAATTTTCCTGTGCCCCATGAAACTATAACGCGCCACTGCATCTCTGCAATGTGAATTTAGTGTTGTCATATATAAAAAATAAATTTTGTAATCACAAATATCGAAAGCTCGAAAAGTCAAACTAATTTGTAATTATTCTTAATAATAAAAAGTTCTATTCTTTTTATAGTATTTTTGTACTGTATTTATAATTATTATATGTATTTATATTTTTAAGAAACGAAATTTGGCAAGGTAAATTATATACAAGAGGCATTGATACTATTAAATTTTGAAGATTAAAGTTCGAGGTTATAGAGAGCTAGAGGGGTCATGTGTCATATCTCAAGTGTGGTCGGACTCAACAAAAATTTTAATTGTTGTTGACATTTACAATATTTTTAAAAACTCAATTAATCCGTTTGCCATATTTTTAAATAATTTATAATATATAAGTTATTTTTTTAAATACAATCTCATAACAGCCGGGAAAGTTACGCAACTCATTGGTGGAATTTTTAAAAAATTAGTATGCTATATTTTAGTTTAATTTATAAAGAAATTTTCTGAATAATTTAACGTTTCTTTTCTTTTCTAAAGTGTATATAGATAGATAAATCATCAACATAATTTATTATTTAATCTAATAAATATTTATTAAACCACATAAAATTATTCATGGAACTATAATATTATAAAATAAATATAAAAAAACTAACTTTTTCAGCTTTCTAATACATTTAAAGTATTAGAAAGCTGCAAAAGTTAGTTTTTTTTTTTAAATATAATTAGTTTAAATATAACAAAATTTATATATTGCTACATTATAACTTGCTACAAAGTTTGTATATGTAAATTTATTATAGAAGATTGCGAATTAAAGGAAATAATATAGTGAATATTTTTACATTTTAGAATAATTTATGTAAAAACATTCCAGTTTTTTACTGTATTGTGGCCTATGTTATAAATGCCTTTATACAACTATTTTAAGAGTGTTTAGAGATATAAAACCTAATTATAATTCTATGCAGAAAACGAGAAGATGCAATAAAATAAGACTTTAATATTAGAGATGTGTTATTAGCTGTAATATTTTATCTTCAAATAGCCATATACATAGGAAAGAGTGAACATAAACTGTCAATGATGTATATTGCAGCATCATTGATAATGAAGATTAAAAATATAACTCATAAAATTTTATTCATTAATAGATCGATCGATAAATTTTAAAAATATCAAATTAGTACTCTATTAATTGAAGTACAGTAATTATAAAATTAGAGTCATAAGAAAAACTTGTTAATTGATGCATCTCAATGATATCTATAGCGAAAAGTAGATTTTATTTCGCTTAATGTCTCGATTTAACTGATCTTTTCACTGGCGAATGAAGACTGATGATGATAAAAAAGAAATTTAAAAAATATATATATGTATATATACATTTAGTAGATCGAATTTAGTTACAAATTTATTGCTTACATACTTCAATAATTCAAACTGACGATTCTGTTACAGATACTTCTGACTTACTAAAACAGTAGCAATTTTTCAAGAAAAAAAGAAATTCGTCTGTCATTTTTAATATAAAATAACTACGATCGGCTATATTAAACACACAGAGAATATTAAACAAGATTATTTCCATATCCAATTTATTAAAAAAAAAAAAAATTGTATTTCAGCTACTTATTCATCTTACATCCACTCAGAAGTTTCAACTTCGAGCAATTATATCTACCATAATTTTTATTTTTACTCATTTCTAACGACATAAATGGCTTAATTAATTTAAATATTTGCTTAATTAACATTTAGAATAAACATTTTATTAATTTATAAAGTATTTTTTTCTTCATTATTTAACTTAATTATTGCGTTAGATTATATTCACGCAGAGACTTTCTGTCACGCCGATCAAATTGTAAGCATTTTAAAATATTAACTCGTTGCTAAATTGTAGAAATGAGTTAATTAAAGTAATTATTCTCTCTCTTAACGATTAAAGTAATCCTTTCATTAATTTTATAAAAATTCATTGTTGGATTTGCAATTCTTCTCCGAAATACCACGCTGCAAGCGTGAACTGTCAGTTGGATAAGGTGATGGATATGTTATTCTAGTATACAATTTTGAATAGATATAAAAGAAAAAATTGTTCAGTATTTTTAAATATACAAAATCTAAGAAACTATAGAATAATTATCATAAATTTTTAAAGCTTTCTTTAGTCATATAACGCTTAAATTAAAGGTCATATAAAGGTCGCGCTATTTAACACAATCGTAAATCATTTTAATTCAACCGTATCGTATCGGTTTTATTTCGTTTCAATTTTTATTTTGATGTTAACGTCACTATCCAGATTCCTTGGTTATTTGATACTTTGTAAAAGTTAATTTACTTTTTTCTGACGTCATTTGTCCTTCTCCAGTGACTTTACAATATGTTCTTCCATGTGTAAATGGTAATGATACGTACGCTACTTTTTTTATCGGGTTCGAATTCCGTTCGTGATAATTTGATAGAGATAATTTAAATGAAAATATCACTTGTAATTTCGGCAGATGTTTTTTAATCGTTCAAATCTTATCTAGAAGATTAAAGAAAAAATAATATATGAAATTTGAGAGATCTTCCAGATGAGATGGAGATGGCAATATGATATATTAAGTTTTACGATAATTATTTTTTAAATCATGAAGAAAAGGTGAGTTTTAACGTATTTATATTCTTTCTTTCAAGCTAAGGTTTTTTAATGATCAGATAATTGAAGATAGTGAGGCGAGGATACGTTAACTCATTTTTTCAAGTTTCTGGTGTTTCACCTTAAAGTTCCGAACTTGCTCTGTATTTTAGGACAAGTCACAGGTGATTAATATTATAGGTTGATAGCCCAGTCTATGAGAAGTTACGGAACATAATTCTGGAAATTATTCTGTCCAATGTTTATAGAAATTCAACAATGCTAAGCAAAAACTGAATTAATACGTTTTTACCCAAAGTCTTCAATTGTTTTAGTTTTGAGTTCAATTTAGTAGGAAACTTTATATTCTTTCCTTATGTTAAAGAAATGTCTGAAACTAACGTTATAAAATATTGTACATAAAAACAATAATATTAAAATACTGAAACTTTTCTAATAATTATAAGATATTTATAGGAAATTCGATTAATTGAGGTAGGAATGAACAACATGCGGTCCATCGCCTGATATTGATAAAAGTATTTTTATGATGAGGCCTATCTAAATGCATATGTATTCTTAAATGCATTATAATAATTTTAATTTAAATCTATCAAATCTATTTGAATTTAACGCTGTTTTGTATTGTTAGATTTGTGCACAATATTTGTTTAAATACAGTAATACCCCGACTTACGCTACCCCGACTTACGCGAATCCGGAGTTACGCGATTTTCAAATCTCGTCGATTCGTCTTTTGTTTGAGCGCCACGCAACTCTTAATTACTCATTTCCCCCCCCCTTTTTTTCGGCTTACATGTTCGGACGTGTTCGACATATAGCTACAATTTATTTTGTGTTATTTGTATGTATTTATATGCAAAATTATACTCCGACTTACGCGAATTCGACTTACGCGGTTATCGCTCGGTCCCACCTATCGCGTAAGTTCGGGGTATTACTGTATAGCAGTATTTTTATATAACAATTTAATCTAATGCTTCTCAATGCAATACAGTACTTAAATTGTGCATCTATAGCTTAATGTTTGAGTTATTGTCTTGTAACAAAAAGTAGTTGTTGTTAGTTCTTAGTAGATTCGTTTCTTAACTTAGTGGAAAGTAGCGCGTTATACAAAAACGCATTAAGAGAATCCTCCATACAACGCCTATAGTGATATTTTCAGGGCGACAAACCCCAGGAATTTTTTATGATGCGGTGTGTCTCAAATATGTCGAGGAATGTCCCTCACCATCCGGTCGTTCCTGTTGTGGGTCTGAAAAAAAGCTTCTCTTAGGGCCCACAGGGGAGAAGAAATAAAAAAAGGAGTGACATTTTTTGGAACCTTGTTAGACTGAAAATAACGGCTTGTACTAATCTATAAATAATGAATGGCGTACAAACAAAAACGCATTAATCTGCTGCACAAACTGTACTGTACATTTAGTTCGATAGTAAAGGTAATTTGCCAAGTGGGAATGTCTCCCAGGAGGATATCCCAAGAGAAACCGGTCTCTATTTAGGTTTTAAACACGTGAAGAAAACTTAGAAAATTTTATATGGCCAGCCTGTTTATGAAGAGATAACTCACGACCAACGTCAAGTGTTAATAGTTTTATCCACTCGGCTACTGGTAGACCTAATTATACTGTACGTCTCTTCATATGTTACATTGAGAAGAGATAAGCATATTAATTAATGACGAATAAAAACACTAAAAATTTCTGAACCTATCTCAAAAATAAAAATCAATGCTGAAGAATTGATTAATTAAAAATACTCTTCCCCGTGAGCATTAGGGAGGTCTTTTTAATTAATCATTGTGGTTCGAACAGGCCTACAATGGGGGCGGGCTGATAGTGGTCACGCCGATCAAATTGTAAGCATTTTAAAATATTAACTCGTTGCTAAATTGTAGAAATGAGTTAATTAAAGTAATTATTCTCTCTCTTAACGATTAAAGTAATCCTTTCATTAATTTTATAAAAATTCATTGTTGGATTTGCAATTCTTCTCCGAAATACCACGCTGCAAGCGTGAACTGTCAGTTGGATAAGGTGATGGATATGTTATTCTAGTATACAATTTTGAATAGATATAAAAGAAAAAATTGTTCAGTATTTTTAAATATACAAAATCTAAGAAACTATAGAATAATTATCATAAATTTTTAAAGCTTTCTTTAGTCATATAACGCTTAAATTAAAGGTCATATAAAGGTCGCGCTATTTAACACAATCGTAAATCATTTTAATTCAACCGTATCGTATCGGTTTTATTTCGTTTCAATTTTTATTTTGATGTTAACGTCACTATCCAGATTCCTTGGTTATTTGATACTTTGTAAAAGTTAATTTACTTTTTTCTGACGTCATTTGTCCTTCTCCAGTGACTTTACAATATGTTCTTCCATGTGTAAATGGTAATGATACGTACGCTACTTTTTTTATCGGGTTCGAATTCCGTTCGTGATAATTTGATAGAGATAATTTAAATGAAAATATCACTTGTAATTTCGGCAGATGTTTTTTAATCGTTCAAATCTTATCTAGAAGATTAAAGAAAAAATAATATATGAAATTTGAGAGATCTTCCANAAATCTTATTTACGAAAAAGAAAGTAAAACTGATAAATATTTATAAATAAATGAAAATTCAGATATAAAGAGTCAATCTTTATAAGTATGTTTGTAATATTACGAAGATTACCATATTCTAATAATTAAAATGGAAATTTTAACATTAACATGTTAATGTTAAAATAACTATCTCTTAACTATTATAAATCAACTAAGACAATTCATAAAAGCAATCTAAACTAAAGCATTATATATAACTTCTAGCATTATTACATTACCATAATCAGGACCTAGCGACAGTATACAGCCAATGTCTCCCTGTTCTTAGGAGCTAGAAGGTTCCAAAATGTAAATAAATAATAATAATTACATACATATTATATTTCTATCAACGAACTTTTTACTATTCACTGTAATTGCCAAATTTTGGAGCTTTCATTGACCATAATGCTGTTTCTGGCTTTTTTCCCCCTTTCGTCTAACACTTAAGAAAACCTTTTCCCTCCTTTTGTCTAACACTTAAGAAAGTCTTTTTTCTTATCATCTCGGATTCGGCCAGCCCACAATGAGAGTGGTTAGATGATGAGGAAAGTATAATTGTCCCAGCTGGGCCAGACGTTTGTTTGTTTGTTTTGTTAAGTTTTGCCGAACTTAACAAAACAAACAACTTGGGCGATCTGCCGAAGGGGATACCTTTCGGAAGATCTTTTTAAGGGTAACTGGCCCCTATTCAGGGTTATAAGGGTTACAGGCGTGGAGAAAACCCGAAAAACTCTATGTTGCGGCCCTTCCTAGAGAGGCGCAAATCCACGACCGAATTCCCACTGTCAGGGAACGGAACCGCTTGGCCACTGGTGGGTCCTGGGCTAGACGTCTCATGAAAAATTTCTGAGGTATCCTGGATATGATCTCGAATCCTCAGAGCTGTAGGATGACTCCTTAATAACTCGTCCATCCGACAGTTCCGTAAAAATGTTATTCATGCTTATTACAAATTACAATATAGCTACTATGCTTACCATGAATTATTTCAGATAATGCTATAGTATTGCTAAGTTTACCATATCTTATATATATCATATACAGTATTATTATTTAATGAATAATAATTATTGAAAATTTTTTTAAATATTCTATTTTTATTAAACGGAAATTACAATAATAAAGAAAATATCTCGTTTCTTATCAAAACTTAAATATATTTCATTTATTTTTAATATTTTTCCTAGAGTTTCTCTTTATTTATTCTCTTTCTCTGTGATTATTAATTCAATTTCCTACAAAATAAATTAACTTAAACAAATATTATTTAAAAATTTATTAACTAACAATCAATTAATTAAAAGTTCCTATATATTTTTTTTAATTTAAGTGATAATGATGTGAATAATCCAGATGAAAATTATCTTTAACAATAAGATAATTTTTAAGTTGAAATGAAATTTATTTAGAAAATTTATATAATTCAGGCATTTTTATATTTAATTTAACTTATTTAGTGTAATTTTGATATTAATTGATGTTGAAAATTGACTTATAAAACTTAAATTTTCAATAAATAAATAAAAATATGGAGCATTGATGCAAAAGATTAGCGATGTTTCTGCTTAATTTTTTATAATTTTTATTATTTTTCATTTTTAGATTTATTTTATTCCTTTGGATTTCGGTGGTTTCTTCTGCATGTCCACGGGGTATATTTCCGTGCAAATGCAAACCAGCTAAAATCAATTCTGAAGTTACTTGCTCCGGTTTAGAAACCATTAAAGATTTGAAAAAAATACTTGAAAATCTAAAAAATGAACCAATAGAATATTTTCTTTTAAATAAATCAAAATTTAAAGAAGTTCCGGTCGAAATTTTCTCAGGCAATACCATAACAACTCTTAACGTATCCAATAGCAAATTTCAAGCTCTTGTCGGAACGAAACCTATATTTTCCGGATTAGAAAATTCTTTAAAAAATTTAACGCTTTATAATTGTTTTGATACTTCTACAATTAAAAGTATAACCTTCAATCATTTGAAGGAATTGAAGATTTTGTCGTTAACAAAAAACAGAATAGATATAATTGAAAACGATTGGTTCGATAGTGGACCATACGGTCTTGAAGAACTAACTATTGAAAGCACAGGAGGAACAATATTAGGAAGCAGAGCATTCTTTTCTCTCATCAACTTGAAAGAAATTTATTTAGATGATATGAAACTGTCTTCTGTACAACGTAAAATGTTCCCGATACCTGCCAAATATTTAAAACTTTTACGCATGAGGTAAGTTATATTTAATGGTATACTCGATAAATATACTATAGTTACTAGAGGGGATGTGGTCAGTTTAAAATATTTTGTAAACTATTTGCAGTCTAGTAAATATTCTTAGTTTTATTCACAAACATCTGTTTTATGTGAAAACATCATCCATTTATTGTTTTACAATTGTTAGGATTTCAGTAATGGAAAAATCTAATACTAGAATATTTCAATTGCGTGACTTCTTTGATCTATTTAAAAAATGATATGGTATGCAGAAAATAATATATTTTGTAAATTTGAAAGCAGTAAACAATTTCAATTTTATATGACATGATACGTAATGGTCTATCTAAAGAACATCTCGTAACTTAATCTAATTAATCCAAGACACCAATGATATAATTTATATTAACGTGTATAAATGTGTATAAATGGTATATATACCTGTATAAATGTGCATAATACATGTACTCAGATACCAGTATAATGTATAAAGTATATGGTTAAATTATTTTAACTCTAACTATAAAATTGCTATCCTGTTGCTAGCATGGTCAAACCCGTAAATGAGTTTGTTAAAAATATTCTCTTTGGTACCCAACAATAGGATTATATTGAAGAAGTAAGGCAAAACAACACTTGGATGATGAGCCAAGAGGATAAGTCACGTAAGGACTGTCTCCTATGAGAAACTGTCCCCTAACTAGGTGTTAGATATGTGTAAAAACACCCCAAAACTGCAAGTGAGAAGCCATTGGTGAGAAGCAAAACTGCAATCATGTATTTATTCACTTGATCACCTGCAGGCTTAAAAAATAATAAATTAATTAAAATGAAAGAATGAAAAATTATTCAATACGTAATTATTCAATAAATCTAAATTGTTTTGATATCAGATTTAGCGAAACAAGACAATAAGGATTTAAAACTCTAAAGCTTTTTTTTTTCAATATAAATGTTCATAATCACAATCCTTTCCAAGAAATAAAATTTTATTAAAGTGAATTGTAAGTATATTTTGCAAATAAACACATTAGTTATACTTTATATTTTGCTTTCAATCATATTATCTCTATTCAATTAAAAGTAATATGGCCGACTTGCAATGTATTTATTTCTCAGTTTATTACTTTCTGTTTCACTGAATAAATCATTTGATAATTTACTAAATATATTTGCCACAAAATATATTTTTATTCAAATAATAAACAGAATATTTTAATTATGTTCATGTGATTGTAAGACTTTCAAATCTATTTGTAGTTGTCATTAATTGTAATATTTAAAAATTGAATTAATCTGACAAGGCAATGCAACATTTGGGAGATCTGCCAAAGGGGGATGCCTCCCAGGACGACTTTCTAGAGAAAACAAGATCCTATTTAGGTACCAGACACTTGAAGAAAACCGGGAAACTTCACATGGCCAACCCATTGGTGTACAGTACGTGCGATCAACTACGTTTAGTGGTTATCCACTTGTCTAATATTTAAAGAAAATTGGATATAAAAATTGTAATTGTATTCGATTTTTAATATTTCACTATTACAAATAATAATAAAATTTCAATTTTTCTTGTACTGTACACAATTACAGGATTAGCTGAGTCGACCTTTCCATGGATTTTCCTTCGCCATTTATTGCAATAAAATTAAAATACTATAATTACATTAAACTAAACAATTATTTAATTTATATTGATTATATTTCCCGGATCATAAAGATAAGTTATGAAACGTTCGAATAAAATTATCAAATTCCTAAATTGTATTGCAACATGATTACAGAACGAAAGCAATGAATTACAACCAATTTGCAATATTGAGATAATGATATATAAATATGAAAACAATGAATATAAATTATTTATATTTAATTAAATGATAGAAATATTTTTATTGCTTCTTGCGATAGGTTGTTATCCTCTTACAAAACTATGACGTACGTCATTAAGTGCATTACGTTGTCAAGTTAATCGTAATCATAAATTCATAATTTAATTATAAACTAATTACTATAAGCATAGTTAAAAGTTTATGTTTCAAACTCGATTAAAACTAAAATATAATTATCGAATAAATAAATCCTCATTGAATTCTATGCGAAATCTTTAATAGAAAATGAAACCAATTTATCATTTCTAATTTTTATTCTTAAATAACTCGATAGGAGATACACATGAACTTATATATATTAAATAAATGATGACTACGTTTGTTTACTTTATAGTCATAATGAAATCGAAGTTCTGCCTCGAGATATATTTTCAGACATGCCTAAATTAGAAGATGTGTATTTGGATAACAACGCAATGAAAACAATGCCCATGGATACTTGGTCACCTGTGTGGAAGCAATTAGATATTGTCTTCGTGACAGGTATGAAAACATGATATTTTCTTTCTAAAAGTCTTTTTAAAAGATCTAAAAATTATTCTGTATATTAATACACGGTAGTCCAAAATTCAGTTAAACATTGTGACAACTGTGTTATTGTTCTATTCAAATATTTAATTAATATTTTTTGTTATATTTCCGCTAATTCTGTATGGGAACGTCCGTTAATTACGTGTACAATTTTTGAGCTTTTCATCGTCTTTCTCCCTATTAAATACAACGATATACAGTACTTTTGACAAAGCCTCTGACATTGAAGAAATGGCTTAGAAAATATTTTCAGAACTTTTTAAACTGATAGTTCTCTCACGTAACTAATGAGCATGCTTTTAAGAACAAATTCGTATACCACTAATACCACTAAAAGGTCCGCGTAGAGCCGTAGACATGACAAGATTCCCCAATGATGTATAGAACTTTTGGCGATCTCCTCCCTCTTAAAATGTATACGTAATTGATGAATGACCCTAAAAGAAAGAAAGAAAAAAGCACTTCTAAACTCAGTTTACGGTCATATTTACCAATATATTCATAACACATAAAAAACACGGTTAACTGACTTTTGGGCAAACGTGTAGTTAAGGGATTCCATACCGTCTCGATGTCTGTATAATGTAGCCTATAAACTTCTTTTTATCAATAGAAGATTTATAAACTGTTATATATATACCATAATTTCTTTATAAATTTAAAATAATAATAATATATTTTAAATTTAGGCAATCCTTTAGTGTGTGATTCGGCAATAAAATGGATATTTCAAATAGAGAAAAATCATACTCTAGAAGGATCTTGCGATAGTCCTCCAAATCTTCGTCATAAATATTTGAGCTTATTAACAATAAATGATTTTGAATAATTTGAATATTAATGATCAGAAAATCATTTTATGATTTTTCATTTAATAACAAATAAATAACTCTATTAAATGTATATTTTATCAAGAGTGACGTTATTAGGCGTTTGTCTTTACTATATTTTTGGGTGGGAATTCAGAAATATATTCAGTAAAAATCGATTATGTTAAATAATCAATTTTTTTTTCTGAAATTGAGTAAACATTTGTTAGATTAATCTTATCACGACGTTCAACGAGTTTTAATAATCGATAAACCAAGTCGATCGCAGCACGTCTAACGTTTATAACAGCAAAATGTATTCTGAAGTAACAGGGAATAAGAAGAATTTGACAAACTCTACAGAAACAACAGTACTGTACTCAAGGCCAAATACTATACTAAACTAATAACATTCATTTAATTTTGATAATCCAAATTTTATACTTAATTTATGGAAAAATTAAGAACAATGACGAGAAAAATCAAGTCAAAAATATTCGAATTATCTGTAAAAATATCAAAATTAAGCCTTAATTTTATTCAATTCTACACTACCAAAGACTTCTTTTTATATGGACAAATATATAAAATTATTTCTTACAAAGATAAGAATGAGTAGAGAAAACCATAAGTATTGTATGATAACGAAGTATTTTTTGTTGTAACTTTATATAAGTTTTGTTTTAATATAACAATGCAACACGTGGACGACTTTGTCGAGGGGATGTATCCCGGAGGATTATCTATGGGAAACTGGTTCCTATTTAGGTTTTTAAAACGTGAAATAAACCAAGAAACCAAGCCCATTGGCGAAGCTCGAGCCCACAACCAACTACTAGTGTTCGGTGGTTTTATTCACTCGGCCATTAGTGGGCCCTATTTACACGTTTATAAGTACACTTATAATTAAAAATATTAAATTAAATCATAAATTTATGAAATATTGCAAAAGAAGACGGTTTTCTTATTCTCATCTAATCATATTCTTTTTTTTTTTTTAATTAAGAATGGCAGCCACAAAAACATGGTGTACTTAACTATAATGTTTTTATCTAAAAGACATTATAGTTGGCTAAAGAGTCAGTTTATCGCTTTGGGAAACCCGGAATAAAATCCTGGTAAGCATCCTCTGGAATTTTTATGGGTGGTCTACCTGGATGACTGATTTGTCGGGCCTCGTGTCTATCCACAATGATGACTATTGTCCTCATTATGGGCCTGGCAGAACCAGCGATGGGCTTCGAAAAAGTTTTCTTAGTATCTACAGATCGGAAAAAGTCTCCCCAAAAAATAAAATATAAAAACCAGATTTGCAAAACTTTATAATTGATTCCTTTGATTGAAAAAATCAGTTACTATCTACTAACTGTCATCGAGTTTAACATTCAATTAAACATACGCTTTGAGAGTTTTAGAATGTACTTTGAACATTTTTACCCGATTAGATAAAAATCATAGTTCAATAAAAGCAATTAAGCTATCTTTATTAGGATCTAATAAGTTCCTTCGACTTCCGAAGTTATGTAAAAAGAAAAAAAATACTATTTTAGAAGTAATAAATTAAATGTATTATTAATTATAATGCATTAAATTTATTGCTGACGATGCAATATAAAACTTCGAACTTTGTTGATTATCTTCTTCAATGTTTTGCTGTGTAAATTGCTTTAATGAGATTTTATTTATCTTCAATTATAAATCAGTTCGTTATCTATCTAGATATACATTTTTTAATACTTATTTTTAAAAAATCGCTACATTTAATTAAACCTCTCTACGATGCATTTTAGAATTTAAGATAATCCAATTAATATCAGAAATAAACATAAATTACAGAAATTTTAAAATTTTGTTCATGTAGTCAACTGGCACTTCATAAATTATAGAAGTATTCTAAAGCAAAATAATATCTTTATTCTTTACTAGAGTGATTTCTTTCCATCCATTTTGGATTATTCTCCCTGTGGTCACTAAGACGACCTTTTTCCAGACCCATAGTCGTTCGGCCAGACCAGCGGCGCCCGTAGGGCATCGTATATTACGCAAGAAGCTTCAAACTCTGATTTAACGTCAGTTCAGCGCTCCCACTAGGTGGCGCTGATTGCATTCGGGGCTAACTTGGCCTCAAAAATAAGAAATGGATTTTGGTCAACATACGACGAAGTCGCATGGGTCAATGGACAAATATCGTTTATTATTTTCTTTTATATTTGCAGAATAGACTAGAAGTCACGAATTTTCTGTTGTTTGAGACCCCTTTGAGGATTAGGAAAAAGGCAATCGAGACGAAAAACAATGGCACGCCCAACACTGGGCCTGAGCCACACCCAGTGTGGAGTGGTTGGGTGGTGAGGGACTGAGCACAACATATCCAGAACAGACTGCCTACGAAAAATTCCTAGGGTTATTCTTCCCTAGGTTCTCTAGGTGCTCTAGAGAACCTAGGGAACCTTTTTCTATTTGCGGCACACCCATGACTCAACACGGCACACCAAAATGTTATTCCGCTCAAAAACGTATGTTATGATACTATTAATAGAATTACGTAATGCCACTAACCTATTATTATTGTTATTAAAAGACATCAACACCTGTGAGCAAATTAATTTTACATATAATTTCTTAGAATACATAAAAATGCGTGGCTTGTAATAAAGAATATACAATCATCATCTTATTTCATCGGTGCTGCGGCAGAGAGTGAAATACAAGCTTAAGAAACACAAAAACTGTGCTAAAAATATATAAATAAAACTCGAAATTAACAGAATATGTAAAAGTTCACGTTACACCTTTCACCATGTGACGGCACACCGGTTACGGAACACTGCTCTAGAGCAGTGGTGCGCGATCCCTCTGAGAGTTGCGAGAAAATTTTTTGGGGTCGCCAAATTCACTGAAATTTATTTGACAATAAAATATATAAGAATTATTTTTATAAATAATATAATTTCATTTCACTATTTTACTGACACTTGTTGNAATTATCTTTAACAAACAAAGATTTAATTACTTCCATCATTTATTTTAACATGCAAGTCATGTATAATACTACAGAAATATTTAAAAAAATCCTCGTAAAAATTATTTTTTCTGAAAAAAATCTTTTATTTAATAATTTAAATACTAATATTTACATATAGATTAAGCAATAGATAATTATTTGTTAAGCTAAATCCATAACTGAATGATCATTATAATATACATTTTAAAAAATTTTATATTATAATACTGTATTTGATTTTAATGATCGATAGAGACGGCCTGATGGCCGAGCTGATAACATATCAGCCTACCGTTCTGAGGTCCTAGAATTGAATCCGAACGGGAGAAATTTTTTTGGAGGAGACCACCCGTTCGGCACCGTCCTCTACAACCCGACTGTCCTTATTGTAGGTCTGGCCGAACCCACGATGAATATGATTAAGCCACAGAAGGCGGAACGACTTTTAAAAAAAATGATGGACAAAATGATCAGCAATAAATCTTCGTGGATGTTGTTCTTGAGTCTTGATGTTGTTTTACTTCATTTTCTACTCTTCATCCATCCTGATATTTTGAATTTTCGATTAGGAGCATCCATAATAAGCCAAATTGAAGACGATCACATAAACTATAATTTACGATCCTTGTCCATAAATAAAACTCGATCGAGGGCTATTTTTTAAATAAAGTCCGTTTGTGAATGAGAGTGAGAATGATGCGTGATTGCAGCAGTGTGCATGAGCATCTGCTTTCTTCATGCTTTGCGCGTGTTTAGATGCCATTTGCAGCCGTATGGTCAGTATGTGTGCTGAACTGTAGAAGTTTATAATGTTTAAGAAAATTGAGTCGCCCGCCGACTGTAAGATACTATCTGTTATTCGATTTCAGAACGAAAGATCTTTTGGGACAGGAAAGGGCAACTGTCTTTTGGGACAGGAAAGGGGCTTTGTTAGTGGATTTTATGCCAAGAGGCACAACAATCAATTTTGATGCTTATTGTGACCTTCAGAAAATTCCGCCGTACCATACAAGACAAGCGGCGTGGCCTAATGTCTTCCGGCGGCAGGCGGCAGATTTCTTTGAAGTCGGAATTAAAAATATTTTTGAGCGGTATGACAAATGTTTCAACAAAACTGGAAATTATGTAGAAAAGTAGATAAAAGTATGTAGAATATGGGAAAAAATATATTTTAATGATATTTACAGTATTTTTCTTTTTATTAAAAAACGGACCTTATTTTAAAAATAGCCCTCGTAGTATTAATATCTGAACTGCAATTAATATTTTACATTTAAATTAAATCGTTAAAAGTTAAACTGATCAATTCAATTTTTAGTATGATATAGGCCAGTGTTTCTCAACGGGGGCGATATCGCCCCCATGTGGGCGATTTTCCATGTTGAGGGGGCGATTAGTGACAATTTATATTTTGGGAGGGCGAAAAACAATTTTCTGGGCGATATAGTAAAACATTAAATTAATTAAGAATAATTAGATATTTTATTCGTTATATCGTACAATAATTAAACAAATAACATTATACTAGTCACTAGTCTATTCAATGCAGTACGAATTTGGCATTAGCCTTGGTCCTCGGCCTAGGAATTTTGAAGTGAAGGGAGCGATAATATATAACGGTTTAATTGAAGGAGCGATACTACGTTGAAGAGGGTGATGGTTCGTTACAGGTTGAGAAACACTGATATAGGCTATACACATGTAATTTAATTTTTCTTAAAATATAACAATATGATTATCAAAGGCAAGTAAAAAGTCATTCAGTTTTCTAGAGTATGTAGGAGAAACACTCTTAGGAAACGTTAGAAAAGTATTAAAGATCAATGCAACATCATCCTTCCCTAGTTCGACCNTTTTTGCATATGTCTGTGTAGTTGACATTGTTCTTCTTTTATTTTTTATATCTCTACTTAATTAATTCAATTACTGAAACTGAGTATACATAAATAAACACTATGCATATAACTAATATCCAGCTAATAATAATTTTTTTCTTGTAGTTTTTGTCCATAGTTAGCCTGACAATACCCATTCAATACAGATGAAAACATTTGCT